CAGGATTACAACACGTAACAGATCTGGACCGCCCCAAACCCTAATGAATAAATACTGAGTGTCCTCCCCACCTCCTCAGTCTAAAACCATGCTCTTCTTCAGCTCTACACTCTGTAAGTACAATTAGATTTTCCATTAATGCTGTTAGTTTTTTTATTTTATTATTCTTTTGGAAAATATTTTAAAACACATTTTGTTTTTCAGTGCTGTCAGCAAGCTGCCTGCTTGCACATGCAAGCAATTATGGTATGTGTGCTGTGATTGGCAAATATGCATCCATTTTCATGGTAAATTTATAATTAAACGATTGTATTTTTAGGCGGTACAGAGACAGTTACCACTTGTGCATACAACGTAGCACATCGTCTGAGCTGTGGTATGACATTTATATTTAAAGCAGCTTGACTTTAATGCTGCTTTACCTTCCTGTTTGTTTAAATCTGCCTTGTTTGTCCTGTTCTCTGCCTCTCGTCTAACAGAATCAGATGGAGTGATCAGCGTTCAGACCTCGCTGTATGGACGTGCAGACAGTGAGACCTGCATTCAGGGGAAACGGCAAGACGAAATTTCCACCACCGACTGCTTTACGGAGGGCTCCACTGATATAGTCAAGAAAAGGTATGATAGTGTGGTCAGTGTGTAATTCTGTTTACTTTTTATATGACGGTTGAAGACCGTATTCTGGAATATCCTTCATCCGTAAACCTCTTCTCCAGCCCTTAACTTCTGATCTGCTCAAGATTCTGTAACAAAACTTCATATACTTATGCATAATCACTATTTCATCACCCATTATTCAAGGTCAATGTCACAAATCAAGGTCAACTGTCATACAAGGTTTTTCCTTGTCCAGTCCATTGCTATAGATTGAAGTATTTTGATATAATAGTTTGTCGGGCGCCGTATGTGTTATTCTTGCTAAACAAGGTTCTTTGTTGTCATTCGCTTCACATGTGGTACATGAGGTGGAACGAAATTGTGTACTCAAGGTCCCAGTTACACACCAACATAGCAAATATGTAAAGTATAAAAAAAAATAAACAATATACAAGGATCTAAGATGTACGATAATATGATTCTGTGTTTTAAACAGCAGCCTGAACATGAGTCTTTTGTGAGCAGATGGATATGAATACAGCAGGTTAAGGTAAGAAATCAGCAGCATGGATAAAGTGACATATTACCAATCAAAGTGGCATTACAGTGATTCTTCTGGTTAGAGATTTATGAATCTAACAGCTTCAGGGTAGAAGCTGTTCCTCAGTCTAGTGCAAGTGCAGTGATCCTCACTATTTGTTTTATTTAATTATTTCAAAAGAGCCATATTGATAGATCAAAGTCAAGGGAAGAGCCGCAATATCACCCCAAGTCACAAAAAAGACCCCCCCCCCCCCACAAAAAACAACCCATGAACAAAAAAGAAACACAGTCAGAGCGCATTATCTGTTTACACAAAATGTACCTTAGTACTGAGATGAGTGGAAGCTGTGGTGCATGTCCTTGACTTTCTTCATGTTGTATTTGTAATTTGTTATTGCACCCACAGTGAGGTGTTCAAGATGGGCATGGGTCAGTCGGCTTCGCTGTATTTCCTTGAAATGGAAAAATACCATACAGTGTATTAAACAGCAGCCTGAACATGGAAGGAGGTTGTGGAGTATTACGTGTAGAACCACTAGACCAGGGATACTCATTGCACGGCTTTCAACAATGGTTGAAAATGTTGATTCAGGTGTAAAAAATTCAGCTTTTAGCTTTTACCCCAATCCCATGAAGAAAACACAAGTCAACAATAGCAATGAATACCAAAGTCCATGCTCAACAATGAATATGCTGTAATATGTGTACGGATGAAGATGCTCCCTTCACATTTCCTCATGCCCCCTCTTTTAACCATGCCTATAACCGGCCCTGCTTAGATGCTCCTACTTCTTTCACAGCAGATGAGCACAACAGGTGTGGAGATGCGTGCAGCCGGTAGCTGATCCATCAGAGATTAACAGGACTTTTTTTTTAACCTACTGTCCGGTCGGACCTGCCTCCTCCTCAACAAGTATATTAACACAATACTATTTATAAAACCACATCAGAGAAGCCCGAGCGGACTTGCGCATATATTGCACAATGCGCCAGCACATTTTAAAATGTATTGGCTGTGCTGGCGTATTGTTGTATCCTGTCACGAGAGCCACCAATAAAGCTTGACGAGCCACATGTGGCTCGGGAGCCGTGCAATGAGTATCCCAGGTCTAGTGGTTCTACATGTAATACTCCGCAACCTCCTGCTTCCTACCATGTTCAGGCTGATGTTTAATACACTGTATTATTTACATTATTATTGTTTAGCATCTTAGGTCCTTTACTGTTTCTTTTTGTACTTCATATTTTTTGCTATTTTTGGGTGTAACTGGGACCTTGAGTGCACAGTTTTGTTCCACCTCATGTACCACGTGATGTGAATGACAATAAAGAACCTTAAACCTTGCCTGAGGGGAGTGGGGCAAAAAACGTGTGTGCTGGGTGAGTCCTGCAAGTATTGTTGAACTGCAAGTATTGCTAGGTTGTGTAAATTTGTAATCTGGTTTGGTGTTTTCTTCCTTCAGATGTAATGGAAAAAAGGTGTGTGAACTGAGCACAGTCATCTTCACAGGATCTGATCCCTGCAGGGGCACTGCCAAGTATTTGCAGACCACCTACACCTGCATCCCAGCTAGTCAGTCTAAGTTAAACTTAAATAAAGAACAGACATTCTTCTTTGTTTTTACTGGGCGGCTTGGCTGAGTGGTTAGAGCAGTCGTCCTCCAATGCAAAAGTTGGGGGTTCGATTCCACCAGCAGTCACATGCTAAAGTGTCCCTGGGCAAGACACCGAACCCCTCATTACCTCTGATGTGTGTCCCATCAGTGTATGAATGTGATAAAGCTCTGATTATTCTTTGTAAAGATCTAGTAGAGTGATGTATGAATGGGTAAATGAGGGCACAGATTGTAGTGTAAAGTGCTTTGAGTATCTTGATAAGAAAGAAAAGCACTATGTAAGGACAACACTATTTACTGTATTTAACAGAAGCATCACTCATATTCTGCTGGAAAAGATTTATTAGATAGTAATGTACAATCAGGTCATGTTTCATTGTTTTGGTTTATGTAAATGAATGAGGTGAATGAGAAAAATAGAATTGCATAATGTGATTTGTGCTACTTTTTCAGTTCACCGTATAACATGTGAGCACTCTTTGACACGCCTGCAGTGTGGTAAGATCTCATTTTCTCTATTTGAGACATGACTTACATTTCAAACAAGCAAGTTTTTGTATCTCTACCATTCTTTCTGTTTCCATTGTCAGCTGAAGGACTGGTTATCTCTGTCTACGGAGCTGATTATGGACGCCGAGACAAGACCACTTGCGTCTTTGGTCACCCGGACTCTCAGCTCCAAAACACAGTCTGCTCAAGCCCCACCAGCAAGGTTGCTGAAAGGTAGATGTTTCTGGATTTTTGCAAGCTCATCAATGCATTTTTTTTAATGATGGCAGCATCTTGAAATTGAAAGAGGGTGATGTCATAGTCTTCAGGTTTAATCACATCTGTTTTCACTTTTGTTTCTCCACAGTTGTCGGGGCAAAAACAGCTGTGTTATCCAAGCCTCAAACTCCGAGTTTCAAGACCCCTGTCCAGGAACTTTCAAATACCTGGAGGTGGCTTACGCTTGTCAGTGTAAGGACACTGGATCTATTTCACATCAAACCATAGACAAAAATATGACATGGTGTATATTATGTATGTAAAGTATTGTGATTAAATGTTTTAGCTTTAGGTGTAAAATGCTATTTTAACCCGTCTACTGATATTTTACAATGGTTTCTTTTTTTAATTATAATTTGCAGTTCCTGATGCCGCTCCAGACCAGTCTGTGTAAACACACCCACACACTGTTCCTGCATCATCTCAAAATAAACATGTTTTAAAACTAAAAGTTCAAAGTCTGTCTTGTTATTGGCTGTAATTTCATTGTTGTATTATTTTGTTCATGTTGCTTGATTAAAAATAAAATGACTGCACACGGGAGGATCTTAACTTCAGTTCAAACAAGATGAAGTGTTTGGTTAAACTGGCTTGAGAAAGCCTCTGCTAAAACACATTGTGGCAACAAGACTATCAGGGTTTGTTGTAAGAAAAAAAAAAACATTATAAAACACACAGGTTAGTACAATGTCAATTTATTTTGAATTCCCTGAAGCACCTCCATGTGAAGTGCAAAATAATGGATGGATGGATATAGGTTACACACACATATATTATCATAGCTATTTTCTTTTTAGGTTAAAGTAAATTGGACAAAATATGAAAGTTATTTAGGCTTTAAGTGGCTCATGTAAATATGGATGTTTTAAATGAAGTGTTTTTTTTTTTTTTTTACAATTTGTGTTAAAAAAATAAATTTAATGTAAAGTAATGTGACCAAGAATCGTTGTTTAATAAGGGTTTTTCTGTTTATTGCTCTCAAAACTTTGAACTTGTGGCTTCAAAAGTGACAAATACTTTTGAAACGTCAAAATATAAATATCCGGTCTAAGCTTTTATTCTGAAAATCCTCTTGCCCTTGTTCCGGCTAATGCTCTGCGTCACTTCCGCTAGCTAAACGCAAAAGTCAACGCGAACAAGACTTATGAAGGAGTCAAGAGGAGGTCAGAGGAGTCGCCAAAGCGTTATTTGTTGTTTGTTATAAATTCTGTGTCCATTGGAGGATAGTTCGCAGCTGTTACTTAAATGAAATTGAGAAACTGAATACCAGGAAGTGCAGTTGCTGATGGAACAATTAAGGTTCATATTAACAAAATATCAATGAGGATTTTAGAGAAGCAGCTGTTGCAAAGGCCATTTCAGAACAGTTAATGTATGGTTACATTTAAAATTTGACGGAAGTACAGGATTTGTTCGGAAGAGTTGGCAGAAGAAAAAATATCTTATTTTCTTTCGAATGAACAAGTTTTTCAGAGATGAATTTGACCAGAAAGCACAACTTCTTCTACATCAATGTTCTGGACATGTAAAACTAAATTAGATATGTTTGGCAGCAACACACAGCTCAAGATGAAATCATCGCCATGTGAGCTTCAATAAGAGCAGGTTAAAACCTTAACCTGAAAACTAAATACCAAATCAAATGTTATTTCTTGTTTATTAGTGACAGATGAGAGAATGTAAACGTCTGATCAGATCCCCAGCAGAATCTAGCTCCTGTAGATAATTGGGATAAATTGTCAGGAATGCTTTATTTTTTTGTTATAATAAATACAGATGTTGAAAAAGAGCTATTAAACCATTTAACTAAGGTGCATGAATTGCTATGTTCATGGCAAAAACCAATGCAGACATGTTCCTGTTTTTAGTATTTTATTTCGCCTTATAACAGAGCTGGGTTTTTTTTATATCTAATTTCTTCCATTTACTGGTACTTTTCATTTTATATGCTCTTTTATGACTGTCTACTGTTGTCATCTGTGTTCTTTGTTTAAAACACGTCTATTGTAAATGAGTCCTCGAGGCTCAACGAGACTAACCTGTATAAAGCTTGAGTTAATTTTTTTTTTAATTAAATTGCTGTAAAATTTGTTTAGTCAATCAAACAGTCCACCCTTTGCTGAAACAATGTTCATGTTTTTTTGTGGAGGGGGGGGGGGTCCTCCCCCAGGAATTTTTGAATAAAATATATGCCATTTCCTGCATTCTGGTGTATTTTAACAGGTTGTTAAGCATCCATGTTTACCTACATAAGTAAACACTTGATTCAACAACAGCTCTCTCCTTGTGTGTGAATAGAGCTGCTGTCAAGCATCCGCTGATTGCATGTGAACATCTTTTTCTGGTTGTCAGCAGAAAACTGGTTGGTCCACTATGACAAGGAGCTACTTATTTATAAGACAGTTATGTTGCAGGGTTTCAGCCTGAAGGTCTTTTGGATAAAAGACAAAATGTCTGAATAAAGAAGAATCCGTTCAGATGACCTGACTCAGCCTTGCTAGATTATCAAATATAGATCAAATATATCAAATAGCCAACATTAAGGCAAAGAATACAGGCAAAAAATTAAAAACTAAGCTACTAATAACTTTAAATAGTTACTGAAGTGGATGTTTTCATGCCGCAGAGCATTTAAAACACACAAAACAAAACTATCTTTAAGCATTAACCTTTAATTTAACTTAAGCATGCAATTTAATTATGACAGAAAACTTGAGTATTTACTTGTAGTTAACTTCAAGGTCAAAGTTCTTTATTGTCATTTCACCACATGTGGTACATGAGGTGGAACAAAACTATATGCACAAGGTCCCAGTTACATAATAATAATGTCATCACAATGTCAGCACTGTATGTTTCCATACAATGGCGAAATTAGTCTCTGCATTTAACCCATCCACCACCAGGTGGTGCAGTGGGCAGCTATTGAAAGCGCCCGGGGGACATTTTGGGGATGAGACGTGCTGCCCAGAGACGCCACGTGATGTGCAGTGACTGGGGATCGAACCTGGGACTTTGGGGTCCCAGGCCGGCTGCCCTGCCTCTACACCATCTCGGCCCTCATCCAACAACAGCAAAAATATAAAGTGTAAAAAGAAACAGCAAATAAGGATCTAAGATATAAAGTAAGATGTACGCTAAACGAATGCCAAACGGTTCGCTAAAAGATCTAAAATATATATTATGATGAACATGTGCTAACATTCATACAGACGAACATGTGGTACTTCCTATTTATGCAATTCAGCAGCTCATGAGGTCGGCCGCCGGCCTTTATCATCTTTTACATTTTTCTAAACCATGTATTTTTGAAATGAAATAAACTGTATCCACCTTCTAAACACTCAGGGTAACACGTGTGTGAATTACATGTTCCCCACCGACAACGTTTAACCATTTTTTCAGATGATTTTTCACAAAATCTCCATGACTGCAAAGCGTTCATGATGTAAAACACCACCGACAATGTTGTTGGGAGGAAAACCACAAGGTTGCAGCTCCTGCAGGTAAGGGGCGTTCACTTCAGGACAAACTGAGGTCGCCGATTGGTCGGTTGCTGACAAGCCTGCTGGACTGATGACGGGTGGCGTCGAGGATCCGACTCGTGCTAAAAGAAATCATAGATTTTACTGGCTTGTTTAAGACTGTCATCATTTATTCAACATTCAAGGTTCTTTATTTGTCATTCCACCACATGTGGTACATGAGGTGGAACAAAATTGTGTACACAGGGTCCCAGATACATCCAACAAAAGTATAAAATGTAAAAGAAAAGCAGTAATAAGATCTAAGATGAACAACAACCAAAAAAAGTTAACTAAAAATACACTAAGCACTAGTAGTATAAAAACAATACGCAGAACAGCAGCACGAACATGAGTCTGAGCAGATGAGTACGAATGAACACAGCAGAATGATGTGATTATTCTGGTTAGAGATTCATGAGTAACAGCCTCAGGGTAGAAGCTGTTCCTCAGTCTAGTGGTTCTACACTTAATGCTCCTCAACCTCCTTCCTGAGGGGAGCAGGGCAAAAAAGTGTGTGCTGGGTGAGTGGGGTCCTTCATGATGCAGGTGGCTCTCTTCCTGCATCTGGAGGTGTAAATGTCTGATGGCGGGGAGACTGACTCCAACAGACTTTTGTGCAGCCATGTTTATGCATTCCATATTTATTCCAAATTTATTCAATATTTTGGTTAATCTAAGGTGAGCTTCCTTACAAAATCCTAATGATGGTTTCTTTAATTTTCAGGGGTGCCGAGTTAAAAATTAGGGGCGCTTGAGCACCCCCCAAAAGACAGCTAAAATCCTCACTGAAGCCAGTTCATATTTATTATTTACTTTTAAACGCTTCGTGTGTGATTTCTAAGTGTATTAAGTGCAGGATCAGTTCTTACCTTACTACTTGTTTAGTATATCCCACACCGCGGTCAGCTGCGCCTCCTCATCCTTCTCCTCCCTGCTCCGCACCTTGCTCCGTGTCTCAGTAGCAGTCCTGCGCCCTTTAGCCACCCACGACTTCACATAAGGGATCGGATTGAACTTGGTCAAAGGAGGTCCGACAATATTGAGAAAGAGCAGGTCAGAGATGGTGGCAGTGTGCAGAGAAGCTCGGTTTGGGGTGCAGATCAGATTCATCTGGGAAAGGCCCCGTTCACATTCTGCACTTGATATGGGGATGGTATCCACAGCTGTTAACAGTTCTTTCAGTTCATCACGGATGTCTTTTCCTCCTGATTCCACGTATTCTCTGTGGGCACGGATCACTGCGCGGGGACAGTCTACGTTGAAACGCAGACAGAGCGACTCGACCTCAGTCTGTCCATAGAGCACACCTGCGTCCTCAGGCCAGTGTTGTGGATAAAGCACCTGCAGCTCCTCAATAAAGTCATCATAGCCACTTTTGTCAGGCAGGCGCTCACTGTGAGACAACAAGCGCTGTTCTAAGTTTTTGGCCACACTTCGAAAAAACTGCATAAAATTTAGTGCTTTGTCACTGGCTTTTCCTTCAGTAAGCGGAACGCTTAGAAAAGATTTGCTCTCAATCCCCCTCTTGCTCACTTCAGAAAAGCGTCCTGGTCGCTCCGCCATCTCGTCAAATACCCTGACTGCACGACAAATAGCTTTATGAGATGAGATTATTGTTGCATCTTTTTTTTGCAGTTCAAGTGAGAGTTCAGATAACTCCTGCAGTGCATCACACATCATACCCAGATTGTTCACAAAAGCGCAGGAACTTATGCGTAATGCAAGGCCATTGTACGTTTGCTTAGTTACGCCATCACGGGTGGGATCTTCCGATGCCGACTTAAAATGTTTATGAAGTGCAGGATAGTTGTTCCAAACCGCTTCCACTGTCTTAAAACTGGAGGCCACACAACTCGTGTCTATTATGCGACCGATTTTGCACAGTTCCGCGTCCAAACTGGATGCACACTCTCTCAGCTCCATACGGCTCTTGTTAGAAGCGTTATAAAGTGAATATAGCTTGTCCATCAGTATTTTAAAATGGTTGATGGTCTCCATCTCTTTCACCACGTCATTTACAGCAAGTTCAAGTCTGTGGGCTGAGCAGTGCCACACAGTAATATGAGGGAAAAGAGCATGAAGTCTACTCGCAACACCGCTTCTCCGTCCTAACACAACAGACGCACCATCACATGTAAGTCCAATGAGAGTTTTAGACAAAAACTCCATGGTAAAATTCATGCACTCCAGTGCGGATAATAAACTACACACAATGCCTTCTGCAGAGAAATCATTTAGTTCAACCAGGTCAGCAAATATGTTACTTGGTTTGTCCATATCTGGCAGCTGTGTTCTTATGTATACAACTAGTGCACTTTTCTTGTTTAACATAGTGCACTCATCCAGCAAGAGGCTAAGTTTTGGTGCACACTCAACAATTCGATCAAAGAGTTTTCTTTTCATTTCTCCTGAAATGTGTTTCTGGATGTTCGAACACGCAACATTAGAATGTAGTACTCTGCCCATATCCAGTCCGATGAACTCCTGACGATCAATTTCACGTTCAAATCCATGCGCTGGCCTGTTTTGTTTAGCCTCTTTATATGCAGTGTGAAAGATCCGACTCGTAGTGGTGATTTCTTCAGACTGAGCATCGACTATAGCCTGTCCCAGTGAGTCTTCTTTTGCCTTTTCAAGTATGTTTTTTGCTGTTAAGTGACTCTTGGTCCGAACATGTTCAAATATTTTTTTACGAAGTGCTCGTTGCTGCTTTGTTATGTCAGCAGCAGATGAAGATATTAAACATGACACCCACTGTTTAGCCAGTTTCATTCCACCAGTCTTCTCTGGTCCTAAAGTTCCAACTGCTTTGCATGTAGAGCAACCAAAACCTGATTTTTTCATTAAAAGCCATGGGTAATGCGTCTTCTTGGCCTTGAACTGAGCAGCTGTCCAGATTGCAGGGCATCCCTCACTTGACGGTTCTTCTGCGCCTGACTCTTCTCCGCTGACTTCACTCTCCTCCGCCTCCTTGTTGTTGTCCTCCTCCACATGGCGGCTGCCACGCGGGCAGTCATCCAACGGCTCCTGCCAGCTTGCAAAAGCCTGGTCAGCTCCGCACTCACCGACCACAACACTCGCTCCTGGTTCCGTATCTCCATTGCCACTGTCTTCATGTGCTTCAATTTTCGGTTGTTTGGTTGGACAATGAGAATCCTTTTTTGCAAAATATGACAGTAAATTCGACTGTGACAGTCTTTTCGACATTTTGATCGCGGTTGTTGTTGTGACAAAATGGCGCAGTTGTTTTACGTCATGGATGTACGTCACGTGATTAACCGTCAAAAATATTTTTCTCGTATTTTTAAACAAAATTTTATGAACGACTCACTTGAACTATAAAACTTGATTTGCAATTTTATCGTGCCGTTTAGTTATATTTTTGAGTTTTATAATAAAAATGCACGATGACTTTGGACTTTTAGGGGCGGAGATTTGACAAGACCGGATCCAAGAAAACTGTTTCCGGAACGCACCCTGTCAAAACAAAGGCGTTCCCGGATCTTGTTCCGGTAGGATCTGGTGTCAGACCATCACTTTTTGGCTGCACGTAGTTGCCAAGTCCGCTTATTATATGCGACTTTGGGCTTGTTTTTTTTTTCTAAAGTCGCTTGTAAATCTTGAGTCGCGGGTTGCTTATTTGGGCTTGACTTTCTTTCCAAGTGAAACTAGTTGATTATCTCCCAGCTCCGCACAATAAAGCAAAAGATGAGTGGTAGTAGGTAGTTTGTCCCTTCCACGTCCCCGTTTTCTGTTTATTGCTCCTGTCCAGATATCATATAAACACTTTTATATGATGTTTGTATACCTGGCACACACTTTTGGTTCACACTGCAAACACTCATACTGTGGCCGACCACTAGGGGGCTTCACTCACGCACAGATGTCAGGATGTTTTGTTTTTAAAAATATCTAGAAAAAATTACATATGCAAAATGTACTTTTTATCAGCGCTAAGAAGTATGTTAATCAAAGTGTTTAGCATAATTTTGCTGTTGGTTATGTGTAATGCTATAACAAATGTATGTTTATACTGCTGTTTTACAGTGTGGTGGGTTGCCAGTTGGGCTTGTTTTCATTCAGCTGGTTTCTTGATTTGGGTTTTCGTAAGAGCTGGTTGGATTATTGAGCATGCATCAAGATAGCTGGTTGCTTGTTTCTGTGGTGAGATCTGGCAACACACACACCCACACACCCTGGAAGAAATTATATAAAAATGAAACAAAAACAGTTACATTATAAGCAATGTAAAATACTAAAAACAGGAACAGGCTTGCTTTGGTTTTAGCCATGCAGCTGTTTAAAATCCCTTAGAGTGGTTAAATTCAAGAGCTTTAGACCTTTTCGCAAGGAATTTCAGGCTACAAGAGCAGAGTAAGAGAAGGTGCTTTAGCCAAGTTCAGTTCACACTGAGAGAACAATGCAGATAATTGTCTTGAGAGCGCATGCTGTAGCTGCACTGACAAAGTGACATGTAGGAGATATTGTTAAGTGCAACTGGGACCCTGTGTATAATTTCGTTCCACCTCATATACCGTGATGGGAATGACAATAAAACTGATTTGAACTTGAATATATGAAGGCAACATACCAAGAAGTGATTTAAAAGATGAAATTGTACCAGTGTGTGAGTCTGCGTGAAGTTAATGATGACCAATTAGCCAACGAATACAGGGCACAATTAATGTATTCATATGTCACTTGTCCTCTGAAGCAAGAAAAGCCGAAATAAGAAAATTATTTTATTTGCTGGTAGTCGCAAAAAGTATTCTGAATATGACTGATGCAATAGCCAGACACAAGAGAGCCGATGTTTTCTTTATTTAAATCAATGCAGTGTACAAATTAAAGGCATGGGTTCACTTTAAATATGTACAGTATACTGCAGACTCTTAGCCTGTGTGTGTAGATTTTCTGCTATCAAGGAACCATCATGTCATCCATCAATCACTCAACAGAGAAAAATCTATCAATACAACAAACCTAGACAGTTTTAAAAGTACAAAAGTTTTATCTCCAAAAATGACACCAACATGATACCCAGAAAATTCATTTAGAAAATATTTTAACTGTAAAATATATATATTTAAATAATAATAATTATAACAAAAAAGGTTAAATCATGTGATCTGGACCAGTTTCTAATAATAATAATAATAAAGAAGAGTAAAACATTATTTCAGTACAATCATAGTAAGAAAACCGATCACATTTATCTATTTCCTAAAAAAAAAAAAAGTCAATGTTAACTAGATTAAGACACCCTGAGAAAAAAACATTTTCCTATTAAGTTGGGGCTTGAAAGTAGAGGCGCTTCCGGAGGAAATTAAAGGAACCTGGCATTTGTTTGTAGAGCCCATTAGCAGAGTTTAGGGAAACTTCATGGTTAACCTAAAATTGAAAAAAAAAAACATTGAGTTAGGCCAGTTTTTATTTAGAAGATTCTTGGTGGATAAAACCAAACTATTTTCTGATGAAGCTCACCATCATCAGCATTGTGACCAAATCATTAGTAGCTGCGTTTTCTTCAAGAATGTTGTCCAGCGTCTCGATGTACCAGGACCCTGCCTTTGGGTCTCTCCAGGAAACGTAACCTGTTTGTCACATGGTCAAAGTGGTGCGATGAAAACAAAGATTGAACCTGTAAAAGGTCGCAACTGTGAGCGTATGAAAGAGTGTATGCACACCGGGGAAAGTGGAGTAGGACACCAGGATGTCACTCGGTGTGGGCAGAGAAGCTCTGGCGTCGACCTCATCGGACATGCTCAGAGAGTCGCTGCTGGAGGACGAGGGAATGGCGTCCGTTTGGTCATCTAATCCTCTGACTGACTGTTGAGCCTCGTCAGGAGACACCTCGAAGCCTATGTCTTTTTCATCTTAAGGAGAACAAAGCTCATTTTTCAAATGTGATTTTCTTTTTTTTTCTTCTTTTTATATGATAAAGACTTTGCTCTGTGTTGGCTACTTTACCTCCTCCACAGGCCTGAAAGAAGAAAAGTTTGGGTTTTCCTTGTAAAGAAGGGCAGTTCTGGCCGTTGAGGTAGTTTGTGATTTGTTGAACTGATACGTACTGTCCATCCACTCCAAAAACAGCACCGGGGAAACGGTTATGACTCACCTACAAACATGAATATTAGCTTAGTCATCTGGGTTTAGACTTGAATAGAAGAGGGGAAAAAGGTTTGTTAAAACTTGGGAAGTTTTGGACAAAATGATCATTTAAGTTTAAATGTAAAGAGTCTTTCTTCCAATAAAAATAAATAACCTGACTAGAAAAATATATCATCCAAGAAGCTTGTTGCCATTTTATAAGAAGTTAATGAGAAATTTTAAATTTAGAAACGTTTACAAACCTCAGTCCCATGCGAGAGCATGGCCAACACACAGCAGTCATACTGGGAGTGATCCTTTTTAGACAAAGCTGACAGCTCGCGTAGGATTTGCTGAAATGACAAGAAAACTCTTGACTTCACGAACCTTCATGCTGCTTTACACATAACAGAAAAATGAAGTCTCTCACGTTTCGTTTCAGGTTTGTCTTGACTTCAACAATCAAGTTGAATGCCTTGAACCGTCTTTCCAGCTTCTTACAGTCTATGTTGGAGCCTCTTCGAACTTTTAGTTCACTCTTAGGTTCAAACTCCACATTGTTTATGATGAGGCAATAACCACATGGGCTGGCATCCATTTTATAGTTCTGTTGCACATGTGAAAAAAAAAAAAGAAAAGAGGAAGAGAGGATGATGTAAATATATAACTGAGGATTGAAATATTCACTTGTTGGTTGCAACGTACCTGAATACTATCACTGCGTGGTCTGCCCTGTGGTCCTGGTCTAAACGGCTCCGTCCCAGGGGCTGTAGCATTAATATGTGTTAGACATTAAATGACTTATAGCTCATCTAATAATACTGAAAACACGTGTTTCTCTTACATGGAGTGAGAGTAGTGGGCTTCTGTAATGGATAGACAGGGAGGATGTCTTTGTTTTGTTTATCAATCTCCACTAAAGGGACTATGACAAAAAGAGCACAGAGAAAAATATTTTATAGTTTTCAGTGATTAAAGAGATTTATATTTTAGCAAAAACAAAATTGTGTTAAAAAAGAGTAACACTCTAAAATAAGTACTATAATTAAGGGTGGCAAAGCATAAGCAATGGAAGCATACTTATTACTATTTTGTTTAAAAATGTCATCCTGTATTTTGTTGCATTGGTGGGACTTTTGGCTGCCATATGTAGAAAAAAAAAATGGCTAAAAACTGCACACAAAAAAACAAACAATGGGAGCTTGGTGAACCAAATGAAAAAAAAAAACCTCTTTGGAACTCGTAGGCTCAGACGTACTTCACGAAAAACATTGTTCAAAGTTTCAACGGGTCACAGAAAGTCGGAGTTTCTCATGTCTGAAGTGGCACCTTGATTTCTTTTACAGTTTTTACACTATCACAGTTTGAGTTTCATGGTTTTGGGGATTTTTTTCCCGCAGGATGTTGAACTGACATCTGATGAGGTTACACCAACTCTTTAAAATGCCTAAAATATCTCAACATTTGCAAACAGACTCTTCTAACTACCACAACTCTTTTGGTCTATGCACAAATTACACACCAAACCTTAAGGATTTTTATCTTTCAGTTAGCGTGTCTCTCGCTGCTAAAGGACTTGTAGTTTTTTTTTTCCTTCTCAAATTCACTACAGACAGCGCACAGACAAGCTTTCAAAGACTTCAGTTATATTTTACCTCAAAATATTAACTTCAAAACTGGACATGAAGGCTCTTTGTAACTCATCATATCCTCTACAGAAAAAGGAAATTATGTCACTCATAGTTCAAGAATTGGTCTGATCTGAATTACCGATACGACCATTTGTATGAGACTTACTTTTCAGTCCATCTCTTAAATTTGTAGTCAGGGATTGACAGATGGAGGTGTGTAGTTACCATGGAGACCATATTGAGCAACTGGCAGCAGCTTCAATATTTATTGTGAGTTTGATTCTCTTTACTCTTCTTACACATCAAAATGTAACCCTTTGTCTTTAGTTTAGTTTACAAAACACAATTTGGATTTAATTAGGGACACTTAGCTGCACTGGCACCCTTCTACATTTATTTGGACATGTTCTAGTTACACACTCACTGAGTGGGAGAGGTTGTAGCTCAGGACGATCAGCTTGTGATGGTGTTGCAGGCTGAATATGAACTGCTGGAGCTCCGTTCTGTAGGATTTCCACCAAACCATGATGGCCAGTTTCCTGAAGACACTCCAGAAACAACGGAAAGGCTCTTCTCCCGCGAGTTTCCAAGTCCTGAACTAGTTGTCTGGCCTGGTTTCGTCTGATCCCAGCGCTCTGACAATTGAAATGATAGACACAAGTTGTTATTATTTATTTATGTTCTTACTCTTTTTTTTTTTTCCAGCAGTTAAAAAATCCTAACCTCAGTAATGAAAAGTACCTTTATTTCATCGATCATATCCTGAGTGAAAACGCCTTTTTCAAGCAGGGCATCGTAAAGTTTCGACGGTTCCAAGTCTGTCACCAAATTAATCCTATTGCGCTGAAGAATCTTCTTGTGTTGTTCCTCCATTGTCCAGCCAGCGTTAACAAAGTGCTGACACGGAAGTAAAATAAAAAGCTAACCTAACTATTTATTTGCTTTAACGAGGTCTGTTGACGTCCTAAAAATATCCATACTCTGGTAAAACTGAAAGTAGTTACAAATAACAGGAGTGTCGCATTATCTTCCTTTGCTTGCACTTGTTACTTCCTTGTTTACATCACCGCTGTCTGTGATTGGTCAAAAGTAAGGGTGCGTTCGATTATGTTTACGGCGAGTTCCGTTTAACAGCCATGGCGTACGGAGACCTGTGAGCTTGACTCCGTAGGAACGCATTCAAAAAATATCGAACCTACAGAGTAAAAAATAAAAATAAAAATCTTAAAGCTTTCACGAAACACTCAATTTCCCAAGATGACTTTCGAGACGAGGTGCATCCGTCTAGAGTCCCGCTTCACGGCAGCAGGTTGTCGTCAATCCTAGAGGAGCTGTGGAATGATGCGGAACACACCCTGGGCGTTTTTGGCTGTTAATGTTGGGAAAGGAGCAAAATCTTTATTGAATATGTAAGACCGCTTCTGTTCGAGGTGACTGAAGGTGTGCTGAGGCAGCCATTCATAATAGAGAGGGAGAAAGAAAGACTGAACTGCCTGGAAACATCTGCTGCTCCGTTTTGGTTATTCTCCCTACTTTTAAGAAGCAGATGAACACGTTAGATTTATAAATCGTCTAAAATCGGTGTCATGATGTGGAGGTCCACCTGATGATGATGGTTGCTGTGATGTGTTAAGGTAACTGGTGACAGTGTCAGTATGTCACTGCCTCTGGCCGTGGTGCTGGTGCTCCTATCTGTGCTGCTGGCTGGATCCAGCCATGCAGGACCTGAGATGGACCCATACAAAACCCTAGGAGTAACCAGGATCGCAAGCCAGGCAGAGATCAAGAAGGTTTATAAGCGTCTTGCAAAAGAATGGTAAGTACTTTCCTGCCACTACTGACCCATTGTAGACAATTCTCTTTCAGCTCCTAACCGGTGTGCATCTTCAATTCAAGGCATCCTGACAAAAACAAAAATCCAGGCGCTGAGGACATGTTTATTAGGATTACCAAATCCTATGAAGTGAGGATCCAACACCTTGTCCATGAACAGCTGATTCAATGTATGAGTGTAATATGTCGTCCTTATTGACGGTTGTTCTGCCTCCCATCCAGATCCTGTCCAACGAGGACAAACGAGCCATTTACGACCGCTACGGGCAAACGGACGACAGCCAGCCATACGGCGGCGGTCGCTACGGCCAGCGCCAAGACAGCTTCTACTTTGATGAATCCTTCTTCAACTTCCCGTTCAACAGCAAGACCCACAGAGATTTTGGTGACAGCAGGTTCGCGCTGCACTTCAACCAGTATGTCAACGAGTTGGTGCCGGACAGCTACAGGAGGCCCTACCTGATAAAGATCACCTCTGACTGGTGCTTCAGCTGCATCCATATTGAGCCAGTCTGGAAGGAGGTGGTGCAGGAGATGGAGAGTCTAGGTTTGGACTGCTTCAACTCATTCTCACATGAAAGATTGCACTGGATCAGAGCAAAATGTTTAAGTATTTTTTTTTAAATGTCTTGTTTTTTCAGGTGTTGGAATTGGCGTGGTTGATGTTGGCTATGAGAGGCGGTTAGCTAATCACCTCGGGGCTCACCGCACCCCGTCCATACTTGGCGTTATTAATGGCAAAGTGACGTTTTTCCATTTTGCCGTAGCAAAGGAACACCTCAGGCAATTTGTTGAAGACCTTCTTCCTCAAAAACTCGTGGATCGGGTAAATATCAGTCCATAAACAACATTAAATATATTTATAGTCCGCAGCTGAAGTGTGAAAGTGAACAATAATGTTTTGTGTATGTTTTTTTTTTTTTTAAACTGAAATCTCTCTGAACTGCTGGACAATTTTTTTTTACTGAAACTTATAAAATATAATCAATCGATGTACCTCTAAAATTGATCAACTTTTGTAGCCAGCACAAAGCAAGATGGCCGCCACAGCCAATTCACCTTAGTGAACACAAAAATGGCTACACTTCAGTCAGTTTTACACATAGTGTGCTAAAATTTACTGTGGCAGTAGCTGTGAGTTATTCACAAGAAGTACTCCAAGTGCTACACTGTTTGAGATCTTTGCCTCAAAGCTTTAGCATTAACAGTCAAACTTGTTGGTCTGTTAGCAAAATATCTCATGAACCACTCGGTGGATTTTCATAAAACTTTCAGAAGATAATCATTAGATGTGGCTCTACAACTGTTTACCATTTGGAGTCAATCCATTTCTAGATGGCCACCACAGCTTATCGACATGAACCAACACACTTATGCCTATAACTCTGTCAATTCTTACAGATGTTGAGCTAAACATTCGTGTGGGAGGAGCTAAGAGTTGTTCCAAGCACATGCAATAGCATGATATTGTGACTGTATTTTTAAGGTTTGATCAAAATAGCTCAAACTCTGATGATCTTAAGTGGCGGGCGATATGCATTCCTTCAAAGAATGCTAGGCTGATAGTTCATCCAGAGTTTCAAAAAGAAAAATCAGATTTCAAAAGCGTTACTGATGGACTGATTGTCTGTTTTCATATTTCAGGTCACTGACAAAAACGAGCAGCAGTTTTTGAACAGCTGGCACGATCTCAACAAGCCGCACGTGCTTCTGTTTGACCAAGTGCCCTCGGTTCCTCTGCTGTACAAAGTACGTCCTCCTCGTTCTGTCGTGTGAAATCTGCCGTGCTTCAGGTGTCAATAAACGCGTCGTCTGTCTGTGTTGATGTCTCCATAGCTGGCAGCTTTTGCTTACAAGGACTACTTGCAGTTTGGTTATGTGGATCAGGGTCTTTTAGAGACTGCTGACCTACAGAAACGCTTTAACATCAACACCTACGCTCCGACCGTGCTGGTGTTTAAGGAGAACATCAGCAAACCGGCTGATATTATACAGGTAAAATGAAGCCCATGTTCTTTCTCCAGTGGGTTTGCTGTAAACAACGACTTTTGTTTCGTCTCCCATCTCTGCAGGCCAAAGGAATGAAAAAACAAATCATTGACGAGTTCATGTCAAACAACAAGTTCCTCCTGGCGCCGCGGCTCGTCAATCAGAAGTTCTTTGACGAGCTCTGTCCGGTCAAACAGTTTCACCGGCGCAGGAAGTAACTATCTGTTCACACTGGTCACAAAGCAAAACCCAAGTTAAGATTCCTGACTCATTTTGAAAGCGCTTCGCATGTTTACGTCTCTGCTCTCCTCAGGTACTGCGTCCTGCTGATCACAGGCGATGAGGAGACTTTTTCTTCTGGGAATCAGGCGTTTCTCTCGTTTGCATCTTTCAACACCAAGGAGGTTGTGAGGTTTGCGTACGTGTACCAGCGGCTGCAGCAACCACTTTGTGACGTCCTCATGGACAGCAAGGACGGCTCACTGTCAACACCACAGGTGTTTTTCCATGAGCCTAACGTCGTGGTAAAATGTCTCCATGCTGGCAGTGTGTGCTTCAGTGTTCTGTGTTCGTGCATGCAGGTGGTGATCCTGGAGAGGCGTAACGCAGCTGGGAAGACATTGTTCAAACCGGTTACCAGCTGGGACGGCAGCGAGGAAGACAGGCAGCGTCTTCAGGCGGAGCTGGAGCGTCTTCAGAAGGACCCGTCCATCCTCGTGCACGACGCGGTGCTGCCTGAACTCAACGACGAGTTTGCCTCGGTTTGTGTCTCCTGAATAAAACCGTTTGATTTGATTTTAAACCTGAGCTCTTACTAATTTCGGGTTATTATATTCTGCAGATATTTGTTATCCGGTGGGTCTACGCTTCATATGATTACCTCTCTGAAGTCGTTGATGATATTCTCCATAACAACTGGTAGGTGTAACTTTAGTTCATATTTTAGTAGGGATGCACAATATTGGATTTTTGGCTGATATCCGATATGTTAAAACGTATTTGGCCGATAACCGATATCAATACTGATGGTTTTTTCCCTAGACCTACTTACAGAGACTCCATAACTTTCTCTGTTGTGGAATTAAAATACTACATTAGTCTGCATGGTCTTTGTCAGTTTGGCCTGCTACCAAATGCAGATGCCAAAAAGGGGGCTGAAAATGATGCAACACTTCAACTTGGATTATGTTTAATGTCAAATTTATTCATGACAGTTAATCTCTAACACAATGACAACACTCGAACAGTGCAAATTTGTAGATTTTCACAAATCTAAACTCAATGGTGCGCATGACGTCATAACATGCTGGCGCTGCAGGCATCCTTATATATATATATATAT